ATGTAGACCAGGCTGGCCTTGAACTCAAAGAGATCTGCCTGCCTCTGCTGGCGAGTGATGGGATTAAAGGCGTGTGCCACCATGCCGGGCAATTAAAAAACATTTTATTTATTGTTTTTATTTTATGTGTATGTGTGCATGCGTTCAAGCCAGCCCGGGCTACCACAGCAAGACCCTGACTCAAAACAAGATGCGTTAAATAAATCAGAGTGCATCCACATACCATGAGACCATGGTACCCAGGCGATGAAAACGAGTTTACCTAAAGGTATGGAATGAGCCGCATATAAAGCATTTGTTAAAACCGGGGTGGGGGGCACTAGGTACAAAAGACCCTGCAAAAACGAAGGCCAGCTTTGGTGTAAACAGGAAGGGGCTGGTTCAGGAAAGGTCCACAAGATTCTAAGTGCTGGTGCCTGGGGGAGGGCAGGGATGAGAGGGACACTTTCTACTACAGAACCTTTTAAACTATGAGATCTCAATAGGTACATCCGCGAGGGATTTCCAACTCGAGTGTGGACTCACTGGCCCCACCTGCCCTCAGCACAGCCAGGGTCCCGGCCACACTTGCTCACCTGTAGCCTTCTTTGGCGTCCTCCAGAGCCAGCTGCTTGAACTCTTCATACATCTTTTTGTTGAAGTGATCTCGGAGGAAGAAGGACCAGAAGCGGAAGAGGGTGTTCATCTCCTGAGACTGGCCGATGCCCAAGCGCTTCCGCTCTGTGGGAAGACAGGACAGGGGTCGGGTTAGGCTGGTTCTCTTGGCAGGGCTGACCGTACCCTAACTATTTGGTAGGCCTTGCTGGGTGGTACTGCCCCTGCCCTGGCCGCTCCTCTAGTTCAGTTTCTCAACTGCTGTCACTCAGAGGAGGGAGCAGAACAAGGCCCTGAAAGCACAAATTTAAACTACCCACTGTCAACACGTTGACATGTTAATGTAAAACAAGCATGCATGCAGCATGCAGGGCAGCCAACAGGACACTGTGATCTTAGCACTTGGGAGCTGCAAGCAGTGGTTCAAAGCCAGATCTGGCTACATAAGAAGTTCAAGGCCTGGACCTCATGTGACTGTCAGAGAAGGGCTTTGCATTGGATCCTCAGCACCATGTAAAAACCAGGTCCACACTATGCCTATCAGTACCCTCAGAGAGTTTGTGTAGACAAACAGATCTGTGTGTGTGTGTGTGTGTGTGTGTGTGTGTGTGTGTGTGTGTGTGTGTGTGATGTAGACAGACAAACAGATCCCTGGAGCTCTCCAGTCATCCAGGGTGATCAGTGACCTTGAGGTTCAGTGAGACACTGTCTCAACAAGTAGAGTAGATGGGAAGAGGGAAACCCTGTCCAAAAAAAAAGTAGAGTAACTAAACATACTCATCAACCTTTGGTCTTTACACCCCCCGAAACATGTGCACACACACGAACATGTACATCCATGTATGTGCACCAATAACAAAAGTAAAAAGTTAGTAGTAAGAGCCAGGCAAGGTGGTGCATGCCTGGAGGCAGGAAGGTCACCACAAGTGTGTTTAAGGACAGGCTGCTAGGCTACATTGGACCCAGGCGTGGTGGCACAGCACACACCTTTAGTCCCAATACTCGGGAGGCAGAGGCAGGCAGAGCTCTGTGAGTTCAAGGCCAGCCTGGTCTACACAGTAAGTTCCAGGACAGCTGGGGTTACAGGGAGACCCTGTCTCAAAAAGACCAAAAAATAAATAAACACACACAAAAACATGGAAAAAAGACAAGCTATCTAAACAAGAGATTTGCACCTAAAATATAAACTGTCACTCAGTGATGAAGCAGCAACCAGCTAAGAAGAGGATCTGAGCAGTCCACTCTTCACCAAAGGCAGGATATGAACATTCAGGAACAAGGCAAGCCAGGCCCTGAAGGAGACACCACCTGGGGCCTTCTGGAACCATGCTGCAAATCTGAAGGAGGCAGAGAAGCCCAAGCCCTAATCTCAGAGGTCAGAGACCGACATGGTGTCCACCATGGAAAACTCCAGGTTCCTCAAAAGGTACCGAAATGCAACCACCAAAGCCTACAGTGCTGAACACGGCCCGTGAACTGCATGCTAGTGAATGTCTCAACCAAGCCACCGCAGACTCACCCACTCCCATGGCAAGGAAACCTGGAGGTGTAAGAACCAAGAACCCAGCAACCGAGTCACATCTTTACAGTTAAGCTACAAAGGAGGTATTTCACTGGCTGGCACGTCCTCATGGCACCTATCAGAATCTACAACTTTAAGGCATCTCCTGTGACCAAAACAAATCCAAGAACATCCACAAGGCTCTCTCCTTCCACAGTGCTCTAGAGCAGGCAACCCTGCTTACTGCAAAGGGCCAGAGTCAACACGTGGGCTCTGTAGGCTACAGAGTCGCCACGACTTTTCCCTTCCTACAACAACCTCTTCATCAGACGAGCTGTCTGGTCTTTGGAGCCACCCAATGGTCTGGTACACACCTTCACCTGGCAAGCCCTGCTCTGGAGACAGTCTGATCCTGCAAATCTTGAGTGGGATCCGGGGCCACCCTGGCAACACCTGTCCTTTCCTATGCCAATGAAAGAAGATCGAGGGACGGAGATTCTGGGTGCTCCATTCCCTTAGCTCGCTGTACTTTAAAACTGAGTGTTCTTTTATTTTAGAGTTCTACTATGGCACCCAGGCTGGTCTGGAACTGAAGATCCTGACCTCAGCACCCCGGGTGCTGCCAGCACAGGCGTGAACCACGCCCACCATGCCAGTTCTTACTCTAAGGTCAGGAAAAAGCCACCTGCCTCCTGCCCCACGTCCACCATGGGGGGGAGGTGATTAAGCAATGCCCAGGGATTCAGCCCCTCCCTCACTCACCATTAAGGCACCGCCTCCGATACTTGTGGTAGACGTGCTGCGTGAAGCCATTTTCCTTGAGCAGCTCATGAGAAGGATGCTGGAACTTGGGCAGCGACTGGGGGGTACAGCCATAGCTGCCGACCGCAGGCATCCCTTCTGAGGGGCTGGAGCTACAGAAGCCAAAGAATGATGGTTCCACCAGGCACTGGGTTCTGATTACAGCCCCATGCCAGGGTTAGGAGGGGTCCCTCTGACCTCTAGGAACCAACATGCAGTCTTGTGCTGCGATGGCCCTAACCCAGAGCCACAGGGACAGCAGCCTTGGAAGGGCTGAGAGGCTGCTGAGTCGCACAGGGATGGTACTGCCAGCCAAGCACTGCTTGGTGGAGGGAGCTGCCAATGCCAAAAACGAATTCGTGACATCATGCTGTCCGTCTGTATTTCTCTCAAAACCTTCTAGTCCTTGCTCTCTCTGTGGGAGCAGCACACAGGTGGGTGAGGGAGTGCCGGTCCTACACGGAGCAGCTGCACGCAGGGGGAAAGGGATCTGCTTTTCTTTTTCCTCTGGTGCTGGAGATGGAACCCAATCTTGGGCACAGCAGGCATGCAGCTCCCACTGAGTACATCACCTCAGCCCTCCATGTCTAACATCATGGCCATTTTTTCCCAAGCACGCAGTAGACAGTAATGTTTAGAAATCAAGTCAGAGCTGCTCTTTCCCAGCAATCCCAAATCGGCCCCACACAGCCATGACAGCTTTTTAAAAAATATTCTATTATTTTATGTATGACTGCTTTGTCTACATACATATAAGTATACCACATGTGCCTGTGTCTGTGGAGACCAGAAGAGGGTGTTGGATCCCCTGGAACCCAAGTTATGGAACGGCTGTTAGCTGTTATGTGGGTACTGGGAACCAAACCCAAGTCGTCTGGGAGAGAAGCCAGTGCTCTTAACCACTGAGCCGTCTCTCCAGCCTGGGCGTCTTTTCTTTAGAAATAAGCTTTCTCGTTCCCAGGCCCTGGGCTAAGCTTCCCAGACTGCTGCATTTAGATATCCAGGTCTTTAGTTTCAAGTCTTCCCAGTCTGGTGGGTGCCATGCGCTCTCACTTGCCCCGCTAGCAGCCTGACTATCCTGGTCACATACCTGATGGATGCAGTCCTGGGCCTGTGCTCCCGGGAATCCATCACCCAGCCCACGTGACTCTCCAAGGGGGGGTTTGAGCTGTGCCTTGTCTTCCTTTTTCGAGGCATCTGTAAGGATGAGTCAGTCCAGCACTTGCCACCTGCACTCCTACAACTACGACCGCATCAAGACATCCTTCACATCCAAGTGGTACATTCAGCTTTACAAAAGTATTTTCCTGTCTGGGGGGAACTAGTGATTGAACCCAGGGCACTGGGCACTAGGCAAGGGCTCCACCACTGAGCTACCCACAAGCCCTACAAAGCATTTCCCAATCTCTCCTCTCCCTGGAGGTTCACAGCTGTGAGATTATCACAGACGAGGAGGTGGAGGCTCAGGAGTAAGGATCTCCTCAACCTCTGCAGGTCTAAGGATCTCCTCAACCTCTGCAGGTCTAAGGATCTCCTCAACCTCTGCAGGTCTAAGGATCTTCTCCTTAACCTCTGCAGATCTAAGGATCTTCTCCTTAACCTCTGCAGATCTAAGGATCTTCCTCAACCTCTGCAGGTCACGCCACACTTGGTCCATTCTATAGACCCGATGGCTCAATCCCTAGTGCGGACAGTCTGTGGTGACCTGGCACTTTCTGATCTCAAGGGACGGCACAGACGGGAACCACGCCAGCAGGAGAGCCTCACCTTGGCGTCCAGCGTTCGGCCTTCTTTCACCACTGGGTAAAACCGTGGTGTCTGACTGGAGTCTTTGAGCTGGGGAGTCCGGGGCGTGCGGGGAGTTCTGGCATTGCGGTAGTTTGGCGACTCTGGGACAGTGGTTGGTAGAGAGCGGGCAATGGTGGAGGGCTCGGGAGCACCGAACAACTTGTTGGCCAAGGCGTCCGTAGGAACTGCAGCAGCACACCGGGGTCAGTACACAGGAAGTCCCTGACGAGGGGCCACACCTCTCAACCCACGGTGGGCCTCAGGCATCACACCCCTCACCTTGTTGGAACCGGGGTGGCCCAGGAGGAACCTCCTGGTTGGGATCCACAGGGGGCTCAGGGGTCAGCGTGTCAAACTGCTCACGACTGATCATGTTGACCTTCTTGAAGTTCTCGACTTCTTGCTGCAGTGAGGCAGGTGAGGAAACCAATCAACAAGCTGCTCTGGCTGGCTCAGGAGCAAGCTGGCAAGGATAGCTCCCTGTCCGCAGACACAGATTCTGGTCTCCATCACCTAGGCACCTACCTTGGTACAAGGGCACTGATCCCAAAGAGATCAGGGCCAACTGCTCCCGACCCCGCATGATACTAGACAAGTCAGGCAGCAGCTGCCGAGACTTTGCTGCAGATCGCCCACTTCCCTCAAGTCCCTGCCCAGCACATCTGGACAGTGCCGGCCACTCTCACCTCCCAACACTCCGAGGCTCATTACAGGACCACCCAGCACCAAACACACTCAGTCCAAACACCAACAGCAGACGGTTCCATTCTCCATCAGGAAAGCCCCTTAAAAAGCCTTTTAACTAGCCGGGCGTGGTGGCACACGCCTTTAATCCCAGCACTCGGGAGGCAGAGGCAGGCGGATCTCTGTGAGTTCAAGGCCAGCCTGGTCTACATAGCGAGTTCCAGGACAGCTGGGGCTACAGGGAGACCCTGTCTCAAAAAGACCAAAAAAAAGCCTTTTAACTATACACATTCCTGATTATCTAAGATTAGAGACGACATTCTGACTGATCCTCAAGTGTCTGGCCAGCTGTTAAGAGACCAGATAGGACAGTCCCCAGCCCACATGCAGTTTACAGGACCCACATGGCTTCTCTTGCTCATAACACCCTGGTGACGACCATCACTTGCCCCTCACATGCAGACAAAAGGCTATGGACAGAGGTACCCACCCACATGGTCAACCAGCCTTCCTCTTCCCCATATGTCACAGGCCCCCAGGCCCTCAATCACACAATATTCACGCCTCACCTTGATCTGAGAATACTCAGGTTCAAACTTCTCAGTCCACAGGTCTTGTTCATAGTAGAAGAGACCATCATTAATGACCTTGGCCAGTTCAGCACTCATCTTGGCACGAGAGGTGTGGTTGCCTGTGCGATCCCCCCCAGGGTGCCGGCGCATGTAAGGTGGCGTTTGGGTGACGATGAGGATCTTGTTGACATCTCGGTCATCAATCTCATAGTCAGAGTCCTCGTCGGACCAGGCAGTGAATGTATTCTTCCGCCCATCCATCTGCTCCATCTCCTCGTCAAACAGGAAGTCGAGCTCTTCCTGCTCCTCCTGCTCCTTGGACACGGGCTGCTGGGAGGGAAGCTGCTGAGGTGGAGCCGCTGGGTGTGAGAACCTGGGTTCCTCCGACTTCTGAAACAGGGACAGACCCCGAAGGGGAATGACCAGGGGGTCCTTGGACCAGGCTTCCTAGTCATCCCACAAGACGCACTCTAGCCCCTGAGCCTGGGGCCATCACAGCTGTAGCCCTGGTAACACCAGCAAATCACAGGTGTCCTCCCTGGACTCAGACTCATGAAGAGACTCCCAAAGAAGCCCAGTTCCTCCAATCCCAGCTAACACACAATCACTCATGAACCTTCATGCCTACACAGTACCTACTGGGAGTAGGCACACAGCACGGCTCAGCTGACCTGTCATCCATCTCTCTACTGAACACCTCACACAAGAAAGCAGCTCCGAGGCCTTTTCTCCTACGTTCGGTACTAGACGGGGTCCCACTTACAGCAGATGTTGTAACAATTTCTTGAGTGTGCATCTACCCAACAGTACCAGGCTCTGTAAGAAAAGCCTGGACTTAGTAAGACTGGGTTCCTGGACTTAGGAATGTCACAGCTCAGCGGGAGAACGTCAACCAGGGGACATCTGCAGTGTGGTGCGGCAAAGGTTCTGAAGAGGTCTGTGATACACACAGGAGGGAACTCAGCCAACCTGGGCTGGGGTGGTGAGAGAAGGCTTCTTGGAAGAATAGGCCACCAGAGGAGGTAGGCAGAGACACAGCAGGCTAGACAGCACAGACGGCATGTCCCAAAGGCAGGGACGAGAAGGCACCTTCTGCCAAGAACTCCGTGGTGAAGGACTAAACGTTCATGACACTGGAAGCCGTCTCCTGCTCCGTATATACCCAAAAGGCAATTCCCAGCTATGCCAAGGGCTTCCCACAGAACTCCAGACCATTTCTTTTCAGGTTGAACACAAGCCATGCAGGAGGGGTGGGGCTACGCCTGGTTCCCATCTTTCCAGAGCCTGTGCAGTCTGCAAGCCTGGCCTTGGAAGGCATGTTGTTCACTAGCAACTTATATCCTGGCTGAGGTCAAGACCAGTGCGAGACGTTCTGGGAAGGAGGAGACTGAGAAGGGGAAGGGACAGACAAGCCAGTCGTGCAAAACACATAAGCAAGCACGGACGTTTACAGAAGACAAGCCCAAGGTCATCTGAGGCCACTTCACATGACCCAAACCAAAGGCCTCCAAAGAGGGATGAGGTTGGAAGGTGGCGCTGAATTCGAGGCTTAGAAAGGAGATGGGAGGGGCTGGACAGATGGCGCAGGGGTCAGAGCACTGACTGCTCTTCCACAGGACCTGGGTTGGTTCCCAGCACTCATATAGTGTCTAACAACCGTCCAGGGGATCTGACGCCCTCTTCTGACCCCTGTGGGCATTGCACGACATGAGTGTACTTACATACATGCAGGCAATATGTTTATACACATAAAATAACAAAAATAGTAAAATTATTACTTTTTTTTTTTTTTAAAAAAAGGGCACAGTATTTCAGCCAGGCATGGTGGCACACGCCTTTAATCCCAGCACTTGGGAGGCAGAGGCAGGCGGATCTCTGTGAGTTCGAGGCCAGCCTGGTCTACATAATGAGTTCCAGGCCAGCTGGGGCTACAGGGAGACCCTGTCTCAAAAAGAATTAAAAAAAGAGACAGTATTTTGAGTTTGAGGTCAAAGCACGCAGCACACACTAAGCAAGGCCCCTGCATCTACATACCCACTGGTTTGCTATTTATAGAGCCTTTCCAAATCTCAAGACAGGGAAACCAAGATCTTGATATAATCAACTGACTTCCCAAAGCCACCAGTCACCAATGGAGGAAACTTACACCCTCTCCCTGGCCTCTCTGCCTCCTCTGAGCCTTCCTGGGGGCCTTACACACGGAAGGCCAGGGATAGATACAGACCAGGGATAGATAGAGACCAGGGGTAGAGACCAGGGGTAGATAGAGACCAGGGATAGATAGAGACCAGGGATAGATAGAGACCAGGGATAGATACAGACCAGGGGTAGATAGAGACCAGGGATAGATACAGACCAGGGTTAGATACAGACCAGGGATAGATAGAGACCAGGGATAGATAGAGACCAGGGATAGATACAGACCAGGGTTAGATACAGACCAGGGGTAGATAGAGACCAGGGATAGATAGAGACCAGGGATAGATACAGACCAGGGGCAGATAGAGACCAGGGATAGATAGATACAGACCAGGGATAGATACAGACCAGGGGCAGATAGAGACCAGGGATAGATACATACAGACCAGGGATAGATAGATACAGACCAGGGGAGATACAGACCAGGGATAGACAGATACAGACCAGGGGCAGATACAGGGAAAAGGTTCTGAAAACGGAGTCCCAGGGTCAGGTAAGGCAGAGCGGCAGTGAAGAATTAAGAAACTAGGCAGCTGCTGCATGGCCTTACCCCGGGGAAGAGCCACTCATGACTTCACAGTCCGGTATCCTGGGGGAGGGACCCCAGAACGAGAACCAGGCTGTTATCCACACTCTGCATTAAGACCCAGAACCTGGGCCTTGCTCACCTTGGGCCGTGCGGGTGAGGGCCGAGGCCTTTTCTTCACTTCAATCCAGCTCTCGGAATCCAGGTCTGGAAGGCTGGCAGACAAGCCCTTGGGCAGTGTCTTCAGGTTGCTGACCTCCTCTGTTTTGGTTGGCACTGGGGTGACCGCACGGGGAGAGCCAGGTGCTGACTCTGAAGGGAGGGGAGGAGAGGTGGGGTGCTCACTGGCCTAGTCCTTTGTAGAACAGTCCTGAGGAGGCTGCTCACAGGAGGACAGGAAGACATCTAGCTGCCACCGGGGCACCTACCTGTCTCCTTCTGGTAGTGCTGCCGGGGAACAAACTCTGGGCAGTTGAGAAGCTGGGAGAAGTCGGTCTGTGAATAATCCACTATTGGGGGGCCGGGAAGGGGCCACTTCTCAGGCTCTTCCCTCCGACGGACTTTTTCCTCAACGATCTCCACCACCTTGCTGTCCTTTAGGGCCTGCAGGGAAGGAGGAGGCACAAGGAGAAGAGTCATGACTAGGGCAGCTAGAGATCTGGAGAAACGGGGACAGCTGGGTCCCTAAGAGCCAGGTGCTGGGTCCAGGCCAGCAGCAGAGGCAGAACATGAGAACTAAAACCGCGGCAAGGCCAGGTGTGGCGCACACTTTCAACTCCAGCACCCAGGAGGCAGAGGCCGGTGATCTCTGTGAAACTGAGGCCAGCCTGGTCTACATATTGGGAGTAAGGCCAGGGAAAGAGGCATATTCAAATTCTGCTGTTAAGAACACAAAAGGTTGACTCCTGGAGAGCAAATTAGGCGGCATCTTGCAAAACAGCACTGCATTCACCCTGGGGGGTCAACATCATCCCTCCAGACACCTGAAGGGCAGAAAAACCAAAGCTATGAAGCTGAGTGCGCAGCACAAAAGAACGGAAACCATCACAGTATCTAAAGGCTGATAACAGCAGAGGGTCCACAGAACAGGGTGGCGGAGCAACTCAAGACAGAAATGGGAGCACCTCTATCTACTCCCCAACATTAGCACCCAGGTATCCAAGTGAAAGCAAAGTATGAGTGGGGCAGAAAGGTCTGCCTGGTGCTCACCAGAGGGGCAAATACATTTGAGGCACTGGGGGGCGTCGTCTCTGAGACAGGGTCTCCCCGTGGCCCAGACTTGTCTGGAACTCGCTATGAAGAGCAGGCTGGCCTCAATCTCACAAAGACTCACCTGCCTCTGCCTCCCAAGTGCTGGGATTAAAGGCGTGCGCCATCACAACCAGTCTAATAGAATATTTTTTAAAAACTATTTTAGGGGCTGGAGAGAAGGCTCAGCAGTTGATGAGAACTGTTCTTGCAGAGGACACAAGTTTGAATCCCAGCACCCACATAGCAGTTAACAACTATTTGTAGCTCCAGTTCCAGGGTATCTGACACCCTCTTCTGACCTCAGGCATTGCACAACACAGATGCACTTTTATACACACATACATATAAAAATAATAAAAAAAAAATAGTTCAGCCGGGCGTAGTAACACACGCCTTTAATCCCAACGCTCGTAAGGCAGAGGTGTATAAGTTCCAGGACAGCTGGAGAGCTGGGGCTACAGGGAGACCCTGTCTCAAAAAGACCCCCCCAAAAAACCACACAACCCTGTTTTACTGGGCTTTTTTTTGTTGTTTTTGTTTTTTTGTGGGTAATATTCAGTAAGAAAGTGAAACAGGGTTTCATGTAGCCCAGGTTGACCTTGAACTTGATCCTCTTGCCTCAGGATCCTGAGTGCTGGGATCACTGGCATACACAACCACTCCCACACCCCCACACCCCATTGCCAAATGTAAGAATCCATAAAAGGCAACTAGAAAGATGGCTCAACGGTTAAGAGTGCATACTGCTCTTGCAGAGACAGGGCTGGGGTTCAATTCTCAGAACCATACCAGCACCTATAACAAACAGCCTGTAATTCCAGCTCTAGGAATGCAATGCCCTCTTCTGGCCTCCACAGGTACTGCATTCACACTCACTCACTCTCACACACACACACACACACACACACACACACACACGCACGCACACACACGCTCACAGATTTTATTATTTATTCTTTTTGGTTGTTTTGTTTGAGAAAGGGTCTCTCCCTATAGCCCTAGAATTCTCACTATGTAGCTCAGGATGGTCTTGAACTCAGAAGCCTGCCTCTCCCAAGTGCTGGGATTAAAAGCATATGCACCACACCAGGCTCTTCATGTACTTACAAAAAAAACAAAAAAATCTTAAAAAAAAAATGTTTACACATGAGTGTTCTGCCTGTATGCATTTAAGTACACCTATACATGCAATGCCTGCAACACCCACAGAAGCCAGAAGGGGGCATCGGATCCCCTGGAAATGGAGTTACAGACAGCTGTTAGCCACCATGTGGGTGCTGGGAACTGAACCTGGGTCCTGTGCAAGAGTAGCCAGTGCTCTTAACTGCTGAACCAGCTCTCCAGCCACCAAATAAAATAAATCTTTAAAGAAAATTAAGAAAAATAGGTTATTGCCTACGTGAGGTGAATGCATCAAAAAAAGAAATGAACGCATTTTAAGTGAAGATGTCCAGCTTGGGCTCCAAGTTCCAGGCCAGCCAGTGGTACATAATGAGACCCTGTCTCAAGACTTATATACCATGGAGAAACTTCGAAGCCATGTGTTTTACATAAATTTTTAAAAAAGAGAGAAAAAAGAAAAGAAGATTACAGGGAGGGATATAATCCCCAAAACTTGAGGGAAAAGTCAAACAAATATATATCAAGCTAAAGACACAGCCACACACAAAAAAAATTAGGATTTGTAATCACAGCCACATGACCATATGAATTAGGGAAGAAAAACAAAAGTGACTTTGCTGTGGTGGTAGGTAGTTACGTGAATAGCGTGCATCTCTGTGGATTAAAGCAAAGGGTGCAATTGAGAATTTTAGGCATGAAATGAAGGAGAAGCACAGATACGATATCCTTGGCACCAGGTAAGGACCCGGCATTTCTGCTAATATTTGATCAATAATAATCTCATCTGTCTTACCTAGAAACAAGGACCAACCAAGTTGTGATAAGCACCCTGTCTCAGACTGTGGCAGCTCAGTTCAGTTCCACTACAAAGGGCCGGAGATGGTTCAGTGGTTAAGACCACTTGTGGCTCTTTCAGAATTCAGTTCCCAGCATTCACATGGTGGCTCACAGTCACCTGCAACCTCAGTTCTAAGGCAGCCAACATCCTTTTTGCATGCACGTGGTGCACATACATACACGTAGGCAAACACTCATATACACGAAATAAAAACAAGTAAAATCTTAAAACCAGCACCCAGTCTGAACAGGAGATGTGCAGAGTGGACTAGGGCTACCCCAAGCAGACACAGGATCAGTGATCTCCAACAGTGAACTTGGAAAACGCACAAGTGAATCCACAAGCCTGTAGCACACAGATGCCAATAGTAATAATAATAAAAAAGCCCTGAAGTCCGCCCTGACGTCCCACCAGTCACCTCAGAAGGGTGTGAAGGACCAACATAAAAGTCCTGTAAACTGGGGCAGAGAGATGGCTCAGCAATTAAGAGCACTGGATGCTCTTGCAGGAGACCTGGATTCGAACCCTAGCACCCACATGGCAGCTAACAACTGTCGGTAACTCCAGTTCCAGGGGATCCGACAGCCTCTTCTGTCCTCCGCGGGCACTGCACGACATGGGTGCACTTACCTACATGTGGGCAATACATGCATACACATAAAATTAAAAAAAAAAAAAAAAAAAAAAGTTCTGTAAACTGAGGTCAAGCCCACTGCCTCTCCTGTTCCATCCCTTAGTAAAGGGGACGATCAACAAGCCAAGTCCTTGTAAGCTAGTAAGTGCATGCTGACCGGTAGGACCAGAGGGTCGCTGCTTTGCAACCTAATGACATTTAAAAAAAATTTTATTTATGTTTATGTGTATGAGTGTACTGCTTACATGTTAGTGACAAATGTCATCATGCAATGCCTGAGGAGGCCAGAAGAGGGTGTCAAATCCCCTGGAACTGGAGTTGCAGATGGTTGTTAGCCACCATGTGTGCGCTGGGAATCGAACCCAGGTCCTCTGCAGCAGTAGGCAGCGCTTAACATCTGCACCGCACAACCTAACGAGGTTACATGCAGTGACTGTCCCAGCAGTCTGTCTCACAGGAGACACAGAGGTGGAATTTTACATGCTTTGCAAAGCTTTCTGGAAAAGGAGGGAAAACCCTATAAACATGTCTGGACACTAATTTACCAACTCAGCATGACAGATGAACGTGCACGAGGACATCTCCTTCCTACAGGATACACAACCCTCCAGCTTTCAAGGCCCACTTTATCCAAGAAACAAATTTTAAGGAAAGAGAAGGGGAGAAAGGTTCAAGGCCCACTTTATCCAAGAAACAAATTTTAAGGAAAGAGAAGGGGAGAAAGGTGCAAGATAACGTTGGGGCTCATATGAGTTCTGGTCTTCACCAACTATTATAAATAACTTTTGGATGGGGGACAATTGGGTAGAAACTGCAACTGGCAGGACATTCGGGATGAGTGATAATGATATTGTGGTTGTGCTTTTCAGTGACTCTTTACAGTGAATTATCTGTATGAAATACTAGGTTACACTTTAAAGCAGGAGGGCAAGAGAAGGAGGGACAGGCAGGGACTCACTGAATCTACTCCTCTAAGAGCCTCAGGTTCCGTAAGAAGAGAGGCGAAGAGCTAGCTAACCTCAGGCCTCCAGCAGAAGCAGTCAGAGGGACTCTGCTAGGGCTTAGCCCCAACTCCAGATTCACAGGAAGGACCTTCCTTTCTTCTGAACCCTCACCTGTGACACTAAGACATACCTCAAAGATGAGTGAGATATCAGTGGTCAGGGCCTGCACGCGGTGAAAGGAAGCAATAAGTGTGATGGGAAGGAAGCCGTCCACGTCCATTTTCCGTCTGAGGAAGAAGTCTCGCTCCAAGTTGTCCACACTGAAGTAGTATTCACTGTGCGGAAAGACACATCACTGAGGGGCTGCGGACTTTCCCGGCGCCTATCTGCTCATAGAGTAAGTGTGTGTGTGTGTCTGTCTGTCTGTCTGTCTGTCTCTGTCTCTCTCATACACACACACACACACACACACACACACACACACAAACACAGTTAAAGGGCCTAAAAGAAACCATGATCTGCTACTTGAGTTAGCTCATCCCTCTGCCCTTCAGCTCAGGGATTTGCCTGGTAAACTAATCCTCCTAAAAACCCAGTTCCAAGATGGTTCTGCTCCTAGAACACTTGGAGTACATGCCACTAAACTATGTGCTTCCCTGTATGGCCCTCCCCTGGTCCAGGAGCAAGACGTCAGCGTGGGTAAGAGCAAAGCGTTACAGCCAGAGCGCAGGGCAGACTGCCGCTCCATCACAGTACGGGCCTGAGAGACCCTGCTCGTGGACATCAGCTGGCATAAACTGCAGGGTTGAATAGCACTTAGCCAGGGCTCAGCTCAGGCAGCGCGGCTGTCAGTGATAGTTTCTAATTTCCCTAAGTTCAGTATCTAGAAAAGGAGAAAAGTTGCCCGGCATGCCTTTAGTCCCAGCACTCGGGAGGCAGAGGCAGGAGGATCTCTCTGAGATCGAGGCCAGCCTGGCCTGCAGGGAGACTGTATCTAAAAACCAAAGGAGGAAAGCCATCTCTGACAGATCAGGAGGGGCTCAGCCGCCAGGCCCTCGACCCTGCTCTGCGCATCTCTGGCCCCCGAGAAGAACCTGTGCACTCACATCTGGCGCTTGATGTAGTCCTTGAGCAGCTCCTGGTCCACATTGTAAAGCTCGGTGCTGCTGACATTGTCAAAGTAGTAGGTGATGTTGTTCATATACTTGGGAGTACGAGGCCCCTCGGTACCGTCAAACTTCCGGTAGCCGAACTGGTAGTCAAAATGGGCTAGAGGGGGAACAGGCATCATGAGAGTGAGATGACACCTGCCCACCCCCCATCCCCA